TTCAGTGCATAGATTTGGAGAAATTCTCTCTTGTCTTCCATCAATATTACGGTTCTCTCTTTGTAAAATACGCAACATTCTTCTTCTTCGCTAGACGTACATGCCACCGTTGGGTGTACTTTCATACCAATATATATGGGACCCGGTTCACAAAGCCTTTTTTCAATGACAAATGAATAAAATCAGTAACAAATCTGCTGATAACCAATCAGAAGCAAGGATTTCAGTAGCTTAAAACAAAAACTGTCATTTGTCACTTATGACAAGTTTTGTGAAACGCCCCCCTGGCGTGCAGGTGTATAAACAGTGTCTCTATTACAGTATTACAAAAACAGTACATGTACGACTAGTGCACACCGTGATTGGTGAGCAAATCTCCTCATATAAGAATGGGTAAATGGCTTGATCTGAGTTGAATAAGGGTATTAGGAATGAACAATTCCATTCAAAGAACTGTTTTCAGACGTCATATAGACGTCAACCATATAAACCTAACGGTGTACTCGCAATTAACAGCGCCCCCGCCAGCTAGCCGCGACAGGCCAATTTTCGGCTCGCGTAGCAAAGCGATATCCATCGATCAAAATGACTAAAATGGTCCAAGATATAAAATATTTTAAATGAAATTGATTGTCCTAATATCCTTGCACATTTTTATACTAATTTTGAACATATCCGACATGCACACCAGAACTTTTACTTTTGACTGTTTTAACTCTTGAAATTAAGGTACTTGTAAATAGGCGTATATATATAATATCACAAACTTTTATGTACGGAAATAATTGATTAAGTAAGCTAAGTTGTCGATTGCTTCGGCCCTTTTAGCTTTCATGGAAATCATTTTTGGACCGTCAAGAAAATGGTTAAAGAACCCCTGTCCTAGGCCATACACTAGCATCTGTCTAACATACTGTTTCATCAGTCTGTCACAATGTGGGAATCGAGCAACACATTGCGACTAGGATTTTTTGATATTGCATTTAAATGTTGGTACTGCTACTAAGAATTTGGTAACCTTTCAAACAGAAGACATTTCAGACAAATCATTAGGTTGAATAAACCTTTATTAACGTAAACTATTCTACACAAGGGTTATAAGAAAACATATCCAACGAATTACACATATATGAGACTCAAAGAGAAGATTTATAGAATTCACTGATTAATATAAATCCTTAGCTGGGTATTTTCTACTTCTGCCCCTAAAGCTGGAAAGACCTGGACCAATTGTTTCGTCTTGTCCAATAGTTCCAGTTACAGAACAGCTACATGAATCCTAAATTCCGACTTATTACATGATACAAACAAATATTCAAAGTCATTTTTGGACACAGACCGTACATTACAAAGAAGGCATGCGAACATTCTTGCACAGTTGTTACCTTGTCCCGCCTAGACTATGCAAGCTCACTTCTGTGAGTAATATGGGCATCGCAGGTCCAATGGCTTCAGCGTGTTCAGAACCGTGCTGCAAAGCTCGTAAACAACACCATGCAATCCAATTAAAAAATATATATTCAAAATCCTGGCTATAACTGACAAATGTCTCCACAATCTAGTCTGGCTTTTTCTCATCAACAGGCATCAATCATCTTTCCATACCTAGAACATCCACAGTGACAGATGATAATGCTTTTCAATCATATGATTTCTGGAATCAACTACTTCGGTACATCCTTACACCATCCATACTAGCTAGGCACCTTTAAGAAGCGTATTTACTTTAATACCTATGCTCCCTCCTTCATACCATGTACAGCGCTGTAAAAAAAATTGTGAGAGCGCTATGTAAATAAACATATTTGTATTATAATCATTGTGAATAAAAAGATAAATTAATTAATATATTCATACATATACAATGAAAACATAGATGTATTAATAAGTTTATAAATAAATCTCTGAAAAAGATTAAGAATCAATGACGACCCTGTATAATGTGTACATTAGAAAACCTTTCCCTGATGAGTGACTCGTGTACGATTTTGTTATCGTTTTGTTGTTGTTGTTTCATAAAATTATATAATTGGAGCTGTCAACAATTAATTAATTAATCTTGAACTGAATGATACCAATTACCAATTACTTTTTGTTATAGTTTTATTTCTTGCATTGATAACAAATTCTTCCAGAAGTGCGCTTGGTTACGCCCACATTGCAGTAAACCGCCCTCTGACGGCGTGGAATAATGAAGCTCAGGGCGTGATCACATGTCACGCTGCCCTCTAATTGGTCAGTTGGAAATGTAGCTTCTCGTGGACCTATCCTGAAATGGGGGTTTTCGCCAGATTTATTTCATGGCCTCATTAGTTTAATTGCCTACTTCCTATGGATATTATCAACATTCTTTTTATATATTGGTTTCATTACCAAGAATATGAAAATATTGATGCAGACGAATAAGTATAACAATCTTTGTAGGAAACAAAACAACATTTTGGGAATGAGCTCTTTAAATATTGTTCACAAAGATGGAGGATATAGTTTCTCTACATGTCTCCGCGTCATAATAGTGATATTTTTCTTACAAAAACGGCCGTTTAATGGAGGTGCCATCATGAAAATCCCAGAATATGTAGTTGTGATATATAATTTCCAAATGGGAATAGCTTATTGGTAGATTTTAGTCAAGAAACATTTATTACAGCTTAATTGATATCTTGACCTTGAGAGGGGGCTATACAACATAAAGAGTTATTATTTTCAATTTCATAACTCTAGACTTGATTTCAACCGCGACGACGATCACTGAATATTGTCGGATCGTATATGCTTCCAATATGTTCATTTGAACCAAATTCTTGACCACATACCAAAACTTTGTATTACCTTTAATACGACCTTTACTCTAAGGTAACTTTTCTCCGTCTGCACAAGACTATACACGTGCTGTTTTTCTATGATCGGTGCACACAGGATACTTCTGTGTCAGCAACACAAAGATAATGGAATGTCAGATTTCAGAGCAAGAATAAATGCTCTGTCACTCTCTTCACGGTTGAACTCAAGTGAGCATCTCATTTTTCATTCCTTTGAAATTTCTTTGGTGGTTTTGCCATTCATAAGACAGGCTGGTAGTATAACGACAAATAATAACGAGTTAAGGAACACATTTTGATACATCGAGCAGGTATTACAAACAAAAACCAAGGCCGTCTGGAATTCTAGACAATAGGTATACCAAGTTTAATATTGACATTATAGCGCTATTCACCACAGACGAGACGGCGAGTCGCTCAATCAACCAGATCTTATGTTGATATATATATAATAACTATGTAGAGGATAACTTAAGATGCAGAAGGTCACTTATCTGTTATAGTTATTATTTTTACATTTGTCTTGGCCACAAGTGGATATTTAAAGGGATAGTTGAGTTCTGTTTTCAGACCGCAAATGCCTTCAAAGTGCATGGTTATTGCTTTTATTCTTATCTATGACATTTCTAGTGCCCTTTTAGAACCTATAATTGCTATGAAGGTAATTTTAGACCCAAAATGTGTGAAATTTAGCAAATACAAGCATACCCATTGAGCTCCACTTTCAAAAAAACACAGTGACCGTTAATTAATTATTTAATCAAAAATAACAATACATGGGCCAGTTTGTTTCCAAATGAAAGACACATTCAATATGATTATGAATACAACTGTAGGAATTTTGAAATAATAGAGGATAACTCAAGATGCAGAAGGACACCTGTGTTAGTTATTATTTTTACATTTGTCATGGCAACAAGTGGATATTTAAGCTATTTCCTTATGTGAATGAGATAATACCTTGTATTCTTATACTATCTAATTACAACTTATAATCTTTGCAATATTAAATCCATATTTAAACCATCTCTATGATTTCAAGAGATTGCAGTATAGCAGTATATATTAACAGTTATAATCTTAACAAATATCGCATACTACTAAACGCTTATATGCTATAACCTATGTAGATTGCTTCTATGTGCTCCATTAGATGTAATAATGGTCCTGTGGTCGAGGGAATTGTGCCTAGTCTACCTGTTAAGGGCGTCACTTTGCTACTGGGTAATGACCTAGCACGGAAAATTAATGTCTCGTTTTATCCCAAGTGGTGACCCTGCATATGATGAAATTACAGATAAATTGGTTGAGGAGATGCCTGACGTCTTCCCATCGTGTCGATGGGAGCAGCCAACTCAGCTCCACAACGCCCGCCCGCTTATTTTTTTCCCCACTGCAGCTCCGGATCCCCAGTATGAACTCATTTGCATACAGCCAATCAGAGCTCATCTTGTCAATAACAAGCTTTACGCGTGCTAAAGATGCGAAATTCGAAACGTTGCAAAGGTATTCAACGCGGAGTCATGAGACACCCTTCAATCAGTAATGAAAAACGGAAACATTTTAGGAACCGAGCTTTTCAAATAACTATATCACATAAGCAACTTTTGCGCAAGTCGACTTTTGCACTCTCACAAACAATACCTCCTGTTCAACCAAGCATGAACACATACCACACAAAAATTGATACTGAACGAGTTGGGATAAAACACTCTTTCATAAAATATATACTGTTCATAGATTTTTTTAAATTTTTTTTTATAGTTAGCAATTTTCTAGGTGTAAACATTTTATTTACTTACACGGTATTGTCCACGGTGATGAGGGACATAGTTTCTTTATGTGGTGTGTGTGTATTGGGTTTTTACAGACGTGTATCAATCATACATCATTAGGGACTTTTAGATTCGCACGAAGACAATAGGTCTATGCTACGATCGACGTCCTTTTAATGCATTGCCTTGAATGGACGTCACACGTATCAGTCCATGCAAATCTACAAGTCCATATTATTTACGTCTGGGGACGGACCTTTAAACGTCACCATCCGAAAGACGCGTCTAGTACCTGCGTCCTCGAATAAATCAGTTTGTAACTTCCATTATAAGCAGTGGATTACAGGCGCACGCCACAACGCCTATAATGTCTCCACTCCATGTCTTATGTATTCTTTACTAGATCCACACGGGTCTCCAACACGGCGTGATCAGACATGCCCAGCCGAACTGTCTGCCCGTGGATGAAGTCACGCTCCCACAGAAACTCAAGGAAAATGGATACACCACCAACATGGTTGGTAAATGGCATATCGGCTTCTACTTGGATGCTTGCACGCCCACCGAAAGGGGCTTCGATTCTTTCTTTGGTAAGGGCTTATTTTAATGAGTAATCACAATAAATATACTACTACTACTCACTATAAACAGTCATGATGGACAAAGAAAGGGGACAAAATATACAGTTCCTCATCTTACCCTTAACATTTGCTGTGGTAGACAAAGGAACATCCCTTCACTGCTATTATGTAAAATAAGTAGAACAGGTGAATATGCATGTGACACCTGTTCTACACATTTTTACATAATAGCAATGAAGGGACGTTTCTTTGTCCATCACAGCAACTGCTGAGGGTAGAATGAGGAGCTGTATATTTTGTCCTCTTTCTTTGTCCGTCATGTTTATAGTGACTCCTACTAACTAAAATGATGATAACAACAAAAATGCACATGTATTGATAATGATAATACTACTGATAATTTATCCCCAAAACATATAACAGTAATTATATTAATGATAGGCTATAATATTTATTATAATAAAACCAATAATGAGGATAGTAATAATCTTAGAAAAAATAGCTATGAATGTTATTAGTATTATTATTATTATTATTATTACTACTATTATAGTATTGATTATTATTGTGATAAAAATAACATAGTTAATAATAACAATAGCAACATGAGAACATTAATGATTAAAATAATAATAATTATGTTAACAATACTTACAATAATAATACAACAAACAATAATAGTAATACTATAATTAAATTATAATAATAACACTAACAATTATTGCAATGGTATAATGATAAGTAACAGCTATGTTCAAACGTGCTTTAGCAGCAACCTGTATAGACAGACCACCTGTCTATAAAGACCACATTTTCTGTTTCCATCGAAAGTAATTAATTATATAAGCATAAATTATGCTACAGGAACCTGTACGTAAAGACCACCTGCCTATGAAAACCACGTTTCCTGCCCCCTTTGATCGATTTACAGGGACCCATTTCACCAAATATTTTTCCAATGACAAATGACACAAATCAGTGACAAATAGAATTATGTAGTAACCAATCAGAAGCAAGGATTTTAGTAGCTTATAACAAAAACTGTCATTTGTCACTGATGACAAGTTTTGTGAAATGTCCCCCTCCCCCCCCCCCCCCCCCCCCCCCAAGGTTTCACTGTCTTATCACTGAGGCGCGATAGCTCAGTCGGTAGAGCAGTGGTCTCGTAATGACCCGGGTTCCAAACCAAGGCGATGCGCTAGTGCCCTTTGGTAAGGTATTAATCCTCATTACCAGGTCCCTCGGAGAGGACCAAAAGCAGTCGGCCGTCTGGTTGCTTACTTACAAGCATTATTACTTTCTAAACAGTCAGTTAATAACCACCACCACCGACCTTTTTTTCGTCTTTCTTTTTGATCAGGGTTCCTAATAGGAGCTGAAGACCATTACACGCGCATGCTCTCTTGCGAGGCATACAATGCCAACGATGGCAGTACCAAGACCCTATCAGGACACGACCTACACGCGAACAAGACACCGGTCTTCGATTACGAAGGACAGTATTCTACCCATCTCTTCACGAATAAAACAGTTGATGTCATAGAGAGGCATGACAAGACAAAGGTACGTTTACGTGGACATAATAGGGACTTTTAGATGTACACGCCGAGAGCGTGGACTGCCGCGTGTGACAGGCACTGGGTCGTGCCCGGCAGTGCCTTAAAAAAGACGTCACATTACCTTAAAAGGATGTCACACGTGGCGGTCCACGTTCTCGTCGTGCCAATCTAAAAGTCCCTAATAGTCCAGCCTCTGTACCGTTTCCGTGCCAAGCGCCCTCATTAACACACCGTCAACGTTGTAAGTAGACCTAGCCATTCCTCTCAATTCTGTACATGGACGGAAATTGGGGGGGGGGGGGGGGGGGGGGGGGTCGCGCGGTCAGTGAAGAGACCGCGCTGAGTGTGGGATCAAGGCGTGTGATTGAAGAATAAAAACAAAGAACGGACTGAATTTGGACTGGGACAGTATTTCAAGAACTCGTTTCCTAAAAACTATCTTTTTCCATATTTTTCTTCTTCAAAATTTAAGCTTACATCGTCGGCATCAGTATTTTTTTTATTTACTGGTATTGAAATGGGCAGTTTTTCTGAATTTTCTTCATTCACCTAGCCCATAAATTAAAAGTGATTTTTTTGAAAAGTTGGTTTTATACATGCTTTCTAACACAAACTTTTTGAAAGGTGTTTGGCACACTTTGTTTAAAAGTAAATCTTAAAGAGAAGGTTGAGTTCTGGGAAGAGATAAAAATAATTTGTGAGCGTTATCATTCTTATTGCAAGTGTGGAAGAACATCAGATAAGACATATTCCCTGAAAAGCATGGCTCTTCAAATGCCTTCATATTCTAAATATGTCATGTAACATCGTAACATACACCACGTGTTCGTGTAGTTCTATATACATCTTTCTGTGTACAGTGTTTGTAACTTTACCAAGACTTGGCCAAATTTCTTATCATTTTGGTGATTCTGATTTTGGTGTAATCCTTGCAATACACACAAATTCTTATATGCTAGATGATCAACCTTTTCTGGTCGATTCCACACCGTTTCTTCCACAATGCAATCGCATGACCACAACTCAACTTCATCTTTAAAGGCACTCTTCCTGTATCTGACTTACTTTAGTAGGATAAGAACATCTTTATGTCTTCGAGCTAAGCTAGTTTGCAGGAAAACATGTTTCTACAGATTATTTGAGCATTAATTTGATTCGTTCTTTTTCATTTTTGTTTTCGTTTAGTGTTTGTACCTTAAAGCCATTGTTCATGTACAGTAATTACTGTAGGTGGATTGAAAAATCTCCCCATCTCAAAACTTAGGCACCTTTCAAGAAAAATATTTGTATGGATTATTTGAGCATAATTTTCATTTTTTTTCCTTTTGCATTTGTACCTTAAAGCCACTCTTCATATACCTGGCATATCAAGCCGTTCACGCACCTTTGCAAGTACCTGACAGCTACATGGACCCATACAAGAACATAGCCGACAAAACCAGACGTACCTATGCTGGTATGGTATCTTGTATGGATGAAGGTATAGGAAATGTCACACAAGCTCTCAAGGACGCTGGTCTTTACGATAATACCATCATAATATTCTCAACAGGTAAAGAAAAGCACGTTTCCATTTACTTTTTGACCCTATCCAGATACTTATTTCGTATTTTGTGATTTGGCTTAATATCGTGTTTTTTTTCAGAGCCAAAAACTAAAAACTAAAAACGAAGGCATAAATAACTACCAGGGGGTGTTTCACAAAGATCCTAAGTTGAAATTATCTCTAGTTGGACTTAACAATCATCGACAGCCGTAAGCATCTATGAAAATATTTTGTAAAAGTTTTTTCAAAAGGCATTTAATGTTGATTCTAATCATTCATAGTTTTTATTATCAAGGACACTTCATGTTCTTGATGTGAAAATTATAAAAAGTATAAAATAATTGAATTTCTGCTTCTGAATATATTTGATTTTAAGGCTACAAATGACTTTCCATAATTTAGAGTTAAGTTTGACTTAGGATCCTTGTGAAACACCTCCCTGATGAGTAGAAAGGGCATTTTTCATGCAAAGATGTACACTGTGTCTACCTATGCTGCGTGACCATAATTCCATTTTAAGAAGAAGAACAAAGGTAAAATATGCTTTAAAACTATTAAATTGGCAACAAATTTAGAAGTTCAAAATAATTGTTTCTCAAACAAAAATTGTTATTTGTTTAGTTTTTCCAGTAGTTTCGTAGCTATCTATTGCTTTAAGAGACAATAAAATTTATTACAGCAATTTAACAACAAAGAAAAAATAATGTTGAGAACATAAAGTGATTGGGTATTTGTTTCTAGTTCATCGTAACTGTGCCATGGACCAGTGATGGCCTGGTGGTAGAGTCGCTGCCCGGCTAGCAGTAGATGGAGGTTCAAGTCCCGCCGTTTCCAAGATTTTGTCTTACTTTTTTTTTCAATTAGAGATCGATCAATCGATCTCATTTACTGGGTGAAAGCCACAAATATGTTTAGATAATCAAGTGATTAGTTTAGGTATTTTCAAATTCCATTCCCGGAGATTGACAGAACTTTATTTATACACATTACAACTTATGTCAACACTTAAACATCAAATATCAATGATACAAGTAAACGATTTTAAAAATCACTGAACAATAATTGACCCTACCGCAAATATCATGTTCGACAGAAGATGGCGACCTTTCTCCCACAAAATAGAGAGGTTAGTTAACACATGCGCAGATATACCCGGGAAGACGCTAAGACAATGTTTTTTCGGCTTCCATAGCGGTGTCAACTAATTCTTTAAATTACTAATTTATCGTTCAGGTTTCATAAACTCCCCCGATGGTTTGATGAGATCTACGTAGGCACCATTATAACTTGTTATTTATATTTTGTTGGTTCTGTAACTATTATTTCTACAACGGAGTTACCAGTCCTTGAGCCAAGGCATTGTATTTGCATGGGAACCGGAAGTGCCTTTGCCAAATATACCCATGGCCGGTACTGCCCTCTGCGGCAGAGAGAATTTCAGCAGGATGGTACGGATAATGTAGAAATTACTATTATTGTTTTGCAGTGTGTGAATGCAAATTTGATCACTAAGTACGTGTGTTGGCCCAGTCAGTAGAGCGTCCGCCTCAAAACCGGGAGGTCGTGGGTTCGAAACCCGGCCGCGTCACACCAAAAGACGTTAAAAGACGGGAGTTGCTGCTACCTTGTTTTGGCGTTCAACAATAAGGGATATAGCAACGTCCATCTGGCGCTGCTCAGTGGCTGCCGGGCTCACGATCAATTGGGCAAACAGAATTTCCATTTCGGTTAAACTTAACAAAATTTGGAGTGGACGTACCTAGTTATACATATCACCTATTTAATTTAGTTTTCCTGTTATGTTCTTGATCAGATAACGGTGGACATATTGATAGGGGTGGCAACAATTGGCCACTACGGGGAAGCAAAGGATCCATGTGGGAAGGAGGGATTCATGGAGTAGGGTTCGTACACAGCCCTCTTCTACCCGATGCAGTCAAAGGAACAGTCAATCATGAATTGATGCATGTGAGCGACTGGCTACCGACTATTGTAGCAGGTATTGCAGGTGGAGCGTTGAATGGAACCAAACCCTTAGACGGCTACAATGTCTGGAGCTCTATCAGGTACCATAGCCACCAGGCACTCTTTTTTCCCCTCTAACTTTTTATAAATCTAGCGAATCATTTTACTTTAACTCATAGCAGTTACTGGATTTCGGATGGTCTATATGAATCTGTTATCATGTACCCTTTCGATAAAAGCTCCAGCTTAAAAAATAAAAACTCATGTATTTTGTTCAATTCTTTTCTTCAATGACAAATGTTTCTTTGTGACTAAATTGATCAAATATTGTTCTTCTAACAATGATATTTTGTTGATGTTAAATTGTTTTAATGAAATACATTCTCTCTGCAAGCAAAGTACCTAGGTAAGATTTTGTGTTGAAAAGTTGAACAAATGGCCAACTCGGATCGAAAAACAATGCAGTTGTGAAACCTCTCAATCTGTTGATAATTCAAGGATTTTAAAGCTTATTTTGCCTTTAGAAAAGCCTGCCGTCACACGCAGTTCGGTCATGTAACAAACATGAACTCAATACGCGAAGACATATTTGCCGATTTCATTAGGCGACAGACAAGACTAGTGAAATTGCCCAAAGTTACGTCTTTTAAACTATTTCCAAATGCGTCTTTTAATTCTTCTTCTCATTATACTTTTGTTACTATTTGTTTTATTGTCATCGTCATCATTTTTAATGAATGCATTCACGGTCTCTTTAAGAAAAGGGTGCTAATCACCGTGACCTTTGGCCGTTGACCTTGTTGTTAAGATTCACCACATTTATTTCTCAAAAGGAGGTAAGGTGATCGTTAGTCCGACAAATCAAATCGGGTTCATAAGTCCGAAAATGCGAATATCCCTGATTTAATTTTCGGAACAACAAACTCTTATTTTATGTTAGGAATGATATACCCAATTTCATTTATTTTCGGAATTACGAATCTTTGAATAGCGCGATTGCCTCCTTTTTGTACCAGTGTCCTTTGAACAGCTTAGTTTATTTCCCTACAACAGGCCGGGGAAATGGCTGCATTATGCTTACATACAAAATGTATGATTTTTTTAAAAAATTAAGGGGGGGGGGGGGGCAAATGGTTTAAAACAAGAGAATTCTTATATGTTAATAAAACCTGTTACCTTTGCATTTGTAATTTGTCAGTGGTACAGCTTCGTCCCCTCGAACGGAACTCTTGCACAATATCGACCCGAAAAAGAAGCGACCTGAGAACGAGAAATTCGATACATCAATGAGAGCTGCGCTACGCGTTGGAGACTGGAAAATAAAGACGGGCGCAGACTATGACGGTGAGTCAAAATTACCTTTAGTTATTCGCTAATTTTCATAATATCAAAGGTAAACTTGAGCTCTCGTCAGACTGCGCCTACGACTACTACTAGGAGCAGTACTACGTCTACTACGTCTACTACTACTACTACTACTACTACTACTACTACTACTACTAATTCTACTACTACTTCTAACACCACTACTTCTACTACTTCTACTATGGAACCACTATTACTACTACAACACCTACTTATACTGCTTTACATTTACTATTACAATATTGTGCTACTATTTCTACCACTACTACTACTACCACTACTAATACTACTTATGCTACTGGTACTACTACTAGTTTTGTAAACATTATCATCATCACCATTACTTTTGTATTATTATTTGTATCTGTACCTTTTTCAGAATTTTCATTATTATTTATATCATTGTTTTTATAATTGTTGTCGTCGTTGTCGACATTAAAGGCATTCTTTCTCTATCCAAACCTCTCTTTGTGACAATAGTAACCGTATTCAACGAGTGGATGCCGCCACCCGAATCCGGACTCGACACGATATATCCGACAGAGAAACCGAACCAAAAGGTCTGGCTCTTCAACATAACCGCCGATCCTCTGGAGCAAACCGATCTTGCAGAAAAGTACCCGGGTGTGGTCGATGAGCTTGTACATAAATTAGAGGAGTATTACAAAGGTTCGGTTCCAATGCGGTATCCGGATGAGGATTTGGAAGCGGATCCGGCTTTGCATGGCGGTTCATGGGGGCCATGGAAGTAAATCCATAGCAAATTTAAGCTGAAACTGCTTCGATCGATACTAATAGTAGTGGTTCTTCTAGGACCCCCTCCCATGACATATATATAAATATATATTATATACATAACATTCTTGAAAACTGTTTGAAAACTGCAGTGCATGAAAATGCCAGATCCAAAGGGCAAAGAGCACACGTGCCCCCCCCCCACACACACACACACACACACACTCCATCAAACAATTGGGAAATATGGGAAGCAGACAATGAGAAGAAGAAGAAAAAAGGGATGGAGAAAGGGAATGATAAAATGGGAAAGTAAACAGGAAGAAGACACATATGAAGCATTGGCTTATTTAATTTGTTAGAATTTCGTAGCACAACGGCACACCAAACTCCGCATGACTTTTTTGTTTGTTCGTCATAGAATTTTCGAAATTTCCCTCCACCCCGAGCCAAAAAATCCTGGGTCAACTAATGCATCTTGCGGTAACTGTCCCCTATTTATACACAACGACTTACAGGACTGAGAACAAGTAATATTACAACAAGTATTATTCCTGTCTACCATCAATAACAAAGTTTTGATGTAATTAACAGCGCCAAATTAATCTAATTGACCTAGACATCACAGAGGAGTCTGTTAAAAAGAAGAGGTAAAATAGAATTTTATTTGTAACTATTATTTCATTTTCAAAATTATTGTAAGGTTTGATTAAAACATACTATGAGTACCTTCTACACTCAGTTTAAACTAGAAATAAGAGGGGAAATTTAATTATTGGAGATATCTAAGTATTGCTCGATTGTGTCCTGTTCAAATAATGTTTCTTGAGTTCATTTGCGTTCCACCAGAGAATTTGAATCATGAGAAACTTGTTCTTTCTTTCTAATGACAGAATTATTTGAATCTACGACAGGTTTATATGAACATATGCAATGACTGTGCCTCATACTGATATGAAATTTACAATACTCTTGTATTTGGTAGAACGTGTATTCCCTGGTTATTTTTTTTTTAATCTGAAGTTGTTCTAATTCACAAGAAATAAGATGAATGGAGGTCTTGCCTTACAAACTATAAGACAGTTATATCCATAATACAAATTGATGCATAATTATTTGTAGAAAAAAATAGGTGTAAAGTATATTAATGTCTTACGTAGCAAACAAAAAATAACCTATGATTTATACATTTCTTTTTTAGACACGGTGATTGGACAAATATGGCTCCTCTTGAATTTAATATTATGTCATAAAGTGTTTATTTCAGACCCCTCTCAAAATATAGTCAAATTCATAATTATAATACCCGATTTTCCAACAATTTCCATTTATGGTCTGTTAAGTCTAGTTATAAAGCTAAATCAATACGTTATCTAGGTCCTAAACAGTAAAATATGATTCCCCAAGTAATAACGAAATCCCAATACATATCTTCCTTTAGAAAACAATATACTATCTTATTACTAAATAGTTATTAATCATCAGTTATTCATATATTCTATATATCTGAACCCCCTTTCATTGTTTTCTTTTGCCCTCTTTGTATATATATATATATATATATATATATATTTGTTTTTACTTCACTTTCTCTCGTATTATAGATAGTTGAAGTGTTTGTACTTTGCTTATTTTACTTAATGTATTGTTGTGTGTATTTCTGTTATGGATGATCTAACTTTACAGGTTTTTGCAAACTTCGCCGAAAGCCCAGCATATAACCTCTGTAAATGTAGTTAAAATTTACTGTTACCTTGTATACTTTGATTTTATATATTGCGAAACAAAATTAATTGAATTGAATTGAATTGAAAGAACTTTGTTTCTTCGACATAGCACATTTACAATATGGGTCCCATTTATGTTATATTTGCAGATTGTGAAATCTTGTTCATCTTCAAAAGATATTTCACTTAGATTAATCATGTATTAAAATGTTGAATTAAATTCTAATTTTAAATCCTCTTGAAAAAAAAATATGTGTTTTGTGAGTTTCTCCCACAAAAAAACAGATTAAATGAAGAAAGGATGAAAACATGCATCAATATACATGACATTCAACCAGTCAAAAATACAAAATTTGTTAATGCCTTCATTATTTGTTTTTTCTTTTTCAAAATGATATATTTGTTGTTATTGAACATAAAACTTAACGACATAGCACATTTACAATAATAACATATCAATAAAGTAAATTTATGTATACACAACACGGTACAACACAGGAACACAACACAAAACAGCATAACACAAATGCCTCACTGTATTCGGTTACATGTAAGGCTCACCCTGACATGCATGAAGGTTATATATCATGAAAGAAAACCGAGACTGGACCCGTCAAGGAAAGGCTCCGCTGAAATATAGTAACGTTAACAATAGAATAACATAATTGACAATAAGGAAGTAGAAAATGTATTAACTGCTAGGGGAACAAAATTCTACACGAAATAAAGTGACCATTTACTAAAATGGGAGCTCAGTTTAGCTTTCTTCTTTGCTATTCGTATTCAATTTTCTGTTTCATTTTTACAAAAGAAAGTAAACCCTGGAAATGTAATTCTGCCTCTTGAAATTTACATCGAATAATATAAAATTTGAGGCACAGGAATAACAAAATAATAATATATACATCATGCCTGCCACCTATATCAATACCAAATATATGAGTGAACTCAAAGTACAGTGTTGTCTCCTTCGTCATATTATCAATATAATCTGCAAGCTTTCTCCATATTGGAGCAAGTAATGTTCATTTACAAAATATATGAGTTGAGGTTTCAGGAAGCTCCTGGCAGAAGTAACACAAAGGACTATTCCTTCTTCTAATTTTATATAAAAATGAGTTTAGGGCTAAAACAAAAATACCTAAACTCATATCCTGCCATAAGCTTGCATCCACCTTACCGTTATAATGCTTTGTACACGCGAACAACCTACTTTGCTGCTTCTTGTATGTTTGCAAGCATTCGTAATAGCAGCTATTGTTTATGCCCATTGTACGGTGTCTAGTATTTCACACGCGCTATTTATAGTACAATAGCGTTGATCCGATAGTCTCAAAAATAAACTTGGCACTAGGGGGATTTGTGGCTGGGCACAATGGGGATTAGCCCCGTGGCAGGATAAGAGTTAACTGTGTATAACTGTATAACTGTGTATAACAGACCATTCAATTTCATCTCAATTTCATCTCTGTCCAAACCAAGCCACTCTTCCTACTTATTACCAATCTTGGCCTGTAATGATTTATCTTTGTTACGTAGTATCGAATAAGCATACCTAGGTACTTAACGAAATTATTTTGAAACAGAAAAACATATCACTTAAAAATGCACAATTTTTTCTTTCATATGACACTTCAGAAAATGAATGATATATTGAAACCAAATCAATTCAAATAGTTTTAATTTAATAACTGAATCAAGCCATGAAAAAATGCTCACATGAATTTAATATCAAATGGAATTTTCCAATAAACAAAGAAAATTAAACCTATTTTTAATTTTACGATATTGAATGTCGATAAGAAATCAAAGCATTTTAGGAATACAAATATATAAGCATAATATTATACATGAAGTCGAATTTTAAAGGAAATTGAGAAATCCAATAAAAAGTAAAGCTTGTATATGTATTACTCACAATTGAAAGAAAAAGAAAGGAAGAAATGGAAGAAATATAAAGAAAATAAACATGAATACATGCACTACCTATAATATAATATATAAATTTAGTAGTTGTTTATGATAAGTGGAAAATTGAACACGATGACGTCATATGAGACAACGAACATCAAGCTTAGGACAAGGACACGTATACGCTTACAAACAAAATATTGGTTGCACAACTTTCCATTGATTCAATTCAATAATGTGTAAATTATAGATAACAAATGATAGCTGAGAAAAGGGGCTTTTCATACTTGTATATCTTATTAAGTAAATAATTCATTATAATAGAATATATACGCATGATTTTGTTTTGGTGGGACACGCTTTATATTACTATTCCGTTATTCTGAACTGAGTTTGTTCTTTGTTAATTGATATGTATTTCATGTTTTTTCATAATGTTGAAGGGCATCCTTGGAAAGCCGGCTATCATTTTTTAAATCTATTTTTGGTCCTTAAAGGAACTACCCTACTAAAATAGAATTCAACAAATGAATAAACAAACAATTCTTTATGCACTTATGATTGCTTTGTAAGCTTGAGTTGTGTAATGGTCGTTAATATGCCTCGTCAAACAGATGATTTCCACTCTTTCGTATTTAATGGGAAAAAACCACTATCACTGACAAATTATAACCAATGAAACACACAATGGCAACTTTGTGACGTATCTCCCAAAATTCTTTACCATTTGCTATGTAGACTACGTACAAGTTCATAAATGCTAAATTCCTTATTTATTAGTGAAAGAACCAAATTTGTCTTACAGGGGTTATGTAAAACGTGACAATCATGACAATGATTTTTATCTAGAGTTCGTGTATAACTAAAATTCCATAAGACTATAATACAATTCATGTTTTGTTCTAAGAATAGAGCAAACGAGAAGATGCCTCGCGATATACGTTACAGAGTTACCATTTTATATGCGATCGATTGCACCTCTAAGAGTATATCTTTTATTGTTTGTAATCAGATTTGCTCATAATGTCAAAGATATGTTTCAATAATATTTCTGCTTCCAACTTATTATCAGGGTAGAATTTCCATTTAAGTGGGTACATTTTAAACATACCACAGACCAATTCGCTTAAATCGTTTGATTTTAGGATCATGCCCGTGTAAATAATCATTATGCACAACAACAGTTTGAACATCCCGATGTCTTCTCCGCCATTTGTCATTGAAATACTGCCAGCCATTCGGGAATCTTTGGTAATCCATGACGTTGATCTCCAGCTTGTCCCGAACGTTCTTCCTCTCTAGAAGTGCATTAAGGAGATCCTGGTCGGGTGTTTTCGGGTATTGGGTAAGCATATCGTCCCATTTCCGGATAACCTCGAGTGTGGCGTTGGTGGCGCTAAAGTATACGAACCCCATGTTGATTTCTAACCAATCAGGAGCGATGATGTAAACGTATTCTTTGTGCATATCTTCCACGACGTGTAAATCATAACCCTCTGGACAAAACAGGAGTGGGTTCTCCAACCAGACTGTATCCAAATCCGAAAATAAAACATCGATGCCTTGTTCGAGAAAAGATCGAATATACCTCGGCCTTCGGTTAATCATCTTGATGTATTCGTCCGTTCCGAACTCGAGGAACTTGGTTGAGGTTTTCGTCTCGGGAGGGCGCTGTACCGATATATCGATGTCTGTTCGTTTGTTGAGGTAATTATATGACGCAAGGTCTTCGGTGAATATGGTGATATGATGTGTAATGCCACATCGCTTCACACTCTCCAACCAGTTATCGCAGAAGTCAAGATAAGCAGCATTGGTAGAGGAGAGAATGGTCCAGGGCCGAGCTCGGTCGAAGATCTCCGTACCGTTCTTCTTCGTGTCTTTCCGGATGGTCTCGCTGGTCCATCGGGATGCGTTCGGCTTGTATGGGACTCGGATGACGGATCGCTCGTTCCAAACAGAAAGAATATCAACTTTGAAAAGAGAAAGAGCAAAATAAGCTGGTCAGTAACAAAACGAAATAAGAATTTAAAATACACAAAGGAAACAAAATCAAACGCGACAATATCTACGAGGTGGATTTTCAGTTAGACCTCAATATTTTCAATTTTTCTAACCTGGCCAAATTGTTGGTTTCGTGTATATTTTAATCATTATTATCATCATCGTTTTCTTGGTGTTGTTTCTGTTGTTATTGTTTATAGTGTTATTAAAGGTAAAGATCAGTTATGGTCATGCGATTGCATTGTGAAAGAAACGTTGTGGAATCGATCAGAAAAGGTTGATCATCTAGCATATAAGTATTGGTGTGTACTACAAGGTTCTGGAATCATCAAAATGATTTTTAAAAATTGGCCCAGTCTTGGTAATGTAACAAGCACTGTACGCAGAAAGATGTATATGGGACTATACGCACACGTGCGCGACACGTTTGTTTATCTCTCACAGACCATGTAGATAAACTAATTTACCAAATATATCAATTAGCAGGCGGTTTCCCGGCAAAATTTGTATCATCATGTATTAGTCAAAAGATATTCTTTCACATGTTTGGTAATAAGAGCTTCCATTTCATTTTTTGAAATTGGGGCGTTTCCAATACTGGTCTTTGCTCTCTCTCTCTCTCTCTATCTATCTCTCTCTCTCTCTCCCTCTCTCTCTCTCTCTCTCTCTATATATATATATATACATAATTTATTATTCAATACATGGATTCAGAGGAATGAACCATTGTACCACGACACCTCTACAAATACCATAGTTATACCATGATAAATTTTCTTACACACAGGCAGAGCAACGAAGTCCTTGATCGTAACCCCTAGAAGGGCAATTGAGAAAAGGAGCAGCAAAATAAGCTGTGGTAAACAAACAAACAAATAAGCAAGCAAACTTAAACAACAACACCAATGTTAACTTAAGTATTGTCTTTTATTAAAAAAATGTATAATTGAATCAACTTATATGGCGTAGATGCTATGTGAATATACTTGAATGCGCTATGATGAAAACAAAAACTCCTATATTAACAGTGCTACTTTACATTCTCACACACACATACAAAACAATACAATATCACCTCAAAAAGTGCGTCTTCAATAAAACTTTGAAGACAGCAAATACGAGGATCTTCTTATGTCTAGTGGGAGGTAATTCCACAGCTTTGGAGCGGCGTATCTGAGAACGCAATCTCCAAGAGTTACTTGAATCATTGGAGAAAGAGGAGGTGCCAAGTGTTTTAAAGACCGTCAATACTACTGGGCCAGAATGGATTAGACCACACAGCAAGGTCACTGACAGGTGGCTATCTCATCGAATAAGCTCTCAATTAACATAAGAAAAAGAGGATCATAGGGACCAATGGTCACCGATTAGGCATTGTTTACTATACAGAGGGCGCAAGTAGCTACAAGTAGTACAGTGGGACTTAAAGGTGGAATCCAAGCAAGGTGGAAATTCTCATCATTTTCAGAACAAATGATAACAAAAAACAAAATTATAGTGCCAAGATACAGTTCACATAGATAATTGAGTACACATCCTAGAATGAGAATGATCAGAAATAACAAAAATTATACGTACTGTTACTTGCCTCTTCTAAAATAATATAACACAAAGATAAAACTAAATTACTTTTCTCAATAATAATTTTTCAAATTTCAAATTTTGGAGAGTGAAAACAAAAGTGATTTAGCATTTATATATATATATATATATGTATATATATATATATATATATATATATATATATCGCAACTAGCAATGATATAGTCATCCCGTGCATGAGCCCCCAATTCCGGGTACCCTCGCTATTCATAAGGACGGCTATTCATAAGAACAACTATCCATAGGGACCGCTATTCATTAGAACAACTATCCATAAGGACCGCTATTCATAAGAACAACTATCCATAAGGACGGCTATTCATAAGAACAACTATCCATAGGGACCGCTATTCATAAGAACAACTATCCATAAGGACCGCTATTCATAAGAACAACTATCCGTAAGGACCGCTATTCATTAGAACAACAGATGACCGCTATTCATAAGAACAACTATCCATAAGGACCGCTATTCATTAGAACAACTATCCATAAGGACCGCTATTCATAAGAACAACTATCCATAAGGACCGCTATTCATTAGAACAACTATCCATAAGGACCGCTATTCATAAGAACAACTATCCATAAGGACCGCTATTCATTAGAACAACTATCCATAAGGACCGCTATTCATAAGAACAACTATCCATAAGGACCGCTATTCATAAGAACAACTATCCGTAAGGACCGCTATTCATTAGAACAACTTTCCATAAGGACCACTATTCATAAGAACAACTATCCATAACGACCGCTATTCATAAGAACAACTATCCGTAAGGACCGCTATTCATTAGAACAACAGATGACCGCTAATCATAAGAACAACTATCCATAAGGACCGCTATTTTTAAGAACAACTATCCGTAAGGACCGCTATTCATAATGTGGAACTTCCTATACGTGAATGACCGCTATTCATGAAACGGAAAGAGGGTCACTATTCTTAAAAGCATAAGGACGTTATTCATAAGTACCGCTATTCATAACGTGGCATGAGGGTCGCTATTCATAAAACGGAAAGATGGTCACTATTTTTAAAAGCATAAGGACCGTCATTCATAAGGACCGCTATTCATAACATGGCATGAGGGTCGCTATTCATTAAACGGAAAGGGGGTCACTATTCATAAAAGCATAAGGACCGTTATTCATAAGGAAAGCTATTCATAACGTGGCATGAGGGTCGCTATTCATAAAACGGAAAGAGGGTCACTATTTTTAAAAGCATAAGGACCGTCATTCATAAGGACCGCTATTCATAACATGGCATGAGGGTCGCTATTCATAAAACGGAAAGGGGGTCACTATTCATAAAAGCATAAGGACCGTTATTCATAAGTATCACTATTCATAACGTGGCATGAGGGTCGCTCTCTATAATTCATAATGAGGGTCATTACTCGTAAGGACCACTATTCATAATACGAAATCGGGATCATTACTCATAAATACGAAAAATGGACGCTATTCATAATTCATATTGGGGTCACTACTCATAAGGAACGCTTTTTAATAATACCAAATGAAGACTCGGTATTCACAATACGGATGATACGTATGCGTATAATACTTCTTGTATTGTGAATAGGGAACCCTATGAATAACGACCCTGATTTTGTATTATGAACAACGACCCTATTTTCATATTATGAATAGCGACCCTCATCTTCGATTATGCATTGCGGTCCTTACGAATAATGACCCTTATGAAAAATGACCCTTTGCTGAAATTAAGAATAGCGGTCCTCATGAATAATGGTCCATATGAATAGCTGTCCTTATGAATAGCGGTCCTTCAAGTGACTGGTTAAAGATACTATGTCCCTTTTTCAGCCAACATCGAATTCTGTAGAACTTTGCAGGAATTATGAATATGTCATGTATGTCCTATCTATGAATCTATTATGCAAGGAAACCCGTTTACTTGCTAGACTTGACTGTCAGACACTATTGATTGACTACATACATAACATGAGCTGTAAAGGGTACATGAGCATTTGTCTACATCAATAACTCACTTCTTGTAATGGCCAAAATTAAACTGATTGAATCTTTGCGCAGCATAAAACGTACAACCATTCGGTACAACGGTCTGAAAATCAGACTATTACTTACTGGCTCTATAGCTCTTAAGTCTATTCGACAATTAATAGTCGTTATTTTCCTACTTAAAGACATTTTCAAGCCCCCTTTTTTGTAGGGAAGTTCTAAATTACTATTATCTTTCAAATGCCGTTGGAATGGAACCTTTGTATTGTTTTGGCCTGCAAATGGGACATAGTACCTTTAAAGGTAAAGACAAGTTATGGTCATGCGATTGCATTGTGAAAGAAAAAATGTGGAATCGATAAGAAAAGGTTGATCATCTAGCATCTAGCATCTGCAAGGTTCTGGAATCATCAAAATGATAAGAAATTTGGCCCATCCTTCGTAAAGTTACAAGCACTATACGCAAAAAGATGTATATGGGACTACCCTCACAGTCCATGAGAGAAACAAATTTACCAAATATATAAATTAGTAGGCGGTTTCCCTGCAAATTTTTTATCACCATGTATGTAAAACATATTCTTTCACATGATTGGTAATGAGAGCTTCCATTTCATTTTTTGAAATTGAAGCGTTTCCAATACTGTTCTTTACCTTTAACATTGTTCAGATGAGAGAAAATAATGCTAAGGTATTGACTTCAATGCTAGATGTAGAGTTAAAGCTAATCTGAAAGATTGCGTGAAAACAGACCATAATTAATTATAACAATTGGGAAAACTGATCTGATCGATTTAATTCTCCCAACTATATATTGACTATTTAATCACATTTTAGGTGAATGTAAATCGTCACAAAGCAATGAGTTTACTTTTAGTGTTGAAAGATTAAGAACCCGCTTATGTCTTATTTTCATTGACAAACGGTTGGGTAAATTCAAAAAATGGTTGGCAGAATTTACTGGTAGAATACCATAAATATATTTGTGGTTTGAGAATTTGTTCCAGATTTTCTGCATGTTAGAGGGTAAGTACAGTAGAAGGAACATGATAAGTAACATTTCACACAACAATTACGCAGGTTTTTCATCAACCTTCAACAATGTTACCTAGTCACCTTAAGAATAGCGAGCAGACCCTTCCAAGTCCATCTATCACACCAAATTAAAAGATTACTAAAAGATATATAGGCCTTTATTTAAAATCAAGGTCAATTTTATTGTTTAAAGGGATAGCTGAGTTCTGTTGCAGAGGGCGCTACACAAAATAATTTGTTTGTGAGATAATTTGAAAGAACATACAATTTAAATGACAAAATCATCTTTGTTTGATCAAAATCGGTTTAAAGACGGCTGATCTTATCCATAAATATAACGATTTCTAATACTTGTGTACCACCA